TGGTGGTGTGAGTTTTAAGCCACTGAGTCTGGGACTCGAACTGTGTTCAACTATGTGGGAGTCCAGTGACATAACCATTAAACCATGTGCTGGTCCCTCAGATAAATACTCTTGAGGCTAAATTCAGACCACCACAGATAGCCATTCACATGCCCCGACGGCACTCGGGCCTGCACTCTTGCTGGTACAGCTTCGGTAGCTTCACTTTGATACGCTTGGCTCCCTGCTACCCACTGGAAGGACGAGGAGTAACTCGGGGCCCTAGGAATCCAAGCCCTTGCTCCTGCCATAGTCCCTAATGGCCTCGCTGCTCTGGGCTGACCCCATCCCAATTGTTCCACCCCCATTTTAATGACATCTGAAGTTTCCCTCCTTCATAGAGAAAAAAAATCCAAACTCCTGGGTTTGTTCTTAAAAGTTACTGTTCCTTTCTCACCTCCACAGCACCTCCTGCTAAGGAAGACCCCAGCTACAGCCAGTATGCACGGTCTCCTACCACCTCCCTCCTTGGAGATTGGCTCCGGACAGACACCCATGTGCCCAGGCCACTTGCTGAAGTCCTGCCTCTCCTTTCAGGGCCAGGCCAACACCAACCTGTGTCAAACTCTCCCTCCATCCTCTCAGAAGGAAAAGAAATCCCTTTTTATTCTCAATATTCTTAGTGACTATTGTCTGCCTGGAGCTTGTAATTCATGTGTTTGTCACCTGCAGCAGATTATGAGCATCACCAAATCATCTTTTTTCTCTTTCTTGTGTTTTTTTTGTATCTACTATATACTTAATAAGTATTTGTGGAATTAGAGGAAATCCATTTTGAACCTTTTTCTAACATCACTCCAATGAGAGTTGGGAAAGGAGAAGGTTCCCTTGCTTGGTATTTAATTTAGATATTCTGTGCACGGAGATTTAGTGTGCATGGAGCCCAGCATTCTGGGTGGCGCCCCTACCACTGGCTTTGCAAAGCACAGGCCACACAGTCTGGTTCTGGCTGATGACTTTGTGACCTTCCATGTCAAATTGTGACCTTCCATTGAAAGCCAGCATGAGGCATGGAGGCTGAAGGTCTGGCTCTCCCTAAGGTACCTGTCAAGAGGGACTCAGAGATTTGCTCCAGGGAGTTTGCGTATAAGGAATTCCAGCAGGAGAGGGTGAGCTGCCAGGAACCCTGCTCGCCTCCCATGAGCCTTCCAGCCAATGATTTATTTGCAAAAATGTCTTCTTCACTATTACTAAGGAGGGTTTGCTTCCCTTGGACATGGTCGGGGGAAATGCAGGCAGCCGTCCGTCCACACTGAGACGGGCTTTAAAGCCTCAGCCCAGCTGTTCTGCTCTCTTGCGTGCCCCAGGAAGTTGGCAACGGTTTCCTGTTGCTCTGCCGTGCCCCTGCTGCTGCCCCAGAACATCAGGAGACTGCTCCTCCCTATCTCTCCCTCCTTGAAGCGCAGCTTAGAAATAATATCCTGTGTTTGTGTAGCATGTTCCAGCAAGACTCCCAGAGCCCTTTGCAAACATCAGCTTATTGTTCACACGCCTCTCCTCCTTCTCACCATGTCATGGCAAAGCAATGATGGAAGGAACAGGACGTCTGGTGGAATGGGAGAACTGCATTTGGAATATGAAACAGGAGGTTTAAAAAAAAAATGGGAAAGATCAGAAAGCGTAAGTTCCAGAGTTCAGAATAAAGTTGCCCTGGAATGTTCCTTAAGATTCTGACCACTTTTTTGGTGACATTTCAGTATGGTGCAACTGCTGTCTAACACTGTAGGGAATGGCAGATGTACTGCATTTTGCTAGCTGGATATGATCATTAAAATCACTATTTCATTGGGACCAGCAGATGGCGTAATGGCTACATTGCTGGACTTACATAGTTGGCCGGGGTTCAAGTCCTGGACCCCGTGGCTTCAACTCACACCAGAAGTGAGTGCGTGCATGCCCAAGATCCCAAGAGGAGAATGAAGGAGAAGGGACTGTGGCGTGACCACCCCCCAGGGGGTGATTTCTTGCTTTATGTCTGTCTCTCTCTGTCTTTCTGGTGAGCACATGCACCCTATAGCAAATCCCCCCCCCAAAAAAAGATCACTATTTCATTTTTGCATAGAACAGACTGCTATAAGAAGCCTGTTATTTTTTGTTTGTTTGTTTTAGAGGTTTTTGCTATAGGGCGTGTGTGCTCACCAGAAAGACAGAGAGACAGAAAGCGAGAAATCACTCCCCCCCCAGGGAGATGGCCATGCCACAATCCCCTCTCCTCCATTCTCCTCTTGGGATTTTGGGCATGCACGTACACAATGCCTGGTGTGAGTTTTAAGCCACTGAGTCTGGGACTCGAACTGTGTTCAACTATGTGGGAGTCCAGTGACATAACCATTAAACCATGTGCTGGTCCCTCAGATAAATACTCTTGAGGCTAAATTCAGACCACCACAGATAGCCATTCAGGACAGGGGAACAATGCCCTCTTAACATGTATCACAGTAAGGGGTCAGCCTGAAATCTTGTGGTGAAGAGGCAGGTGGATCCCACATGGGTGACTACACAGTTCAGAGCCTGGACCCAGCAGCTTGAAAATACACACCAGGCACATGTATGTATGTGCCCCAAGTCCCCAAAGGAGGAAGAGATGGAGAAGAGATGACATTGTGACCATGCCCCATGAGGGAAGCTGTGCTCTCTCTCTCTCTGATGAGCACACATACCTAATGGCAAAATTTAAAAAAGAAAAGCCGGATCCCACATGGCTGATGGTTGGTTTGAATCCTGGCCCTGATGCCTTGAAAACCATGCTGTGTACATGCTCAGAATCCCCACAAGATGGGGAAAAGGAAGAGAAGAGACTTCAGGATAAGAAGAGACTTCAGCACACCCCACTGGAGGGTGCTTTCTTCCTTTCTGTCTCCATCACACTGTCCTTCTCTCTTTGGCTAGCACCTCTGGCAATTCCAAAAAAAAAAAAAAAAAAAAAAAGACAATAAGAAAACTGTTTGGCCTTCATTATTCGTCATGTAGCCTCTGTGTTCCAAGTTTGGTCGTCATTCACACACCGACCAGGCTGCTCACTAGTGCTCGAAGATGCTCCGAACCTCCCACTCCATATTAGCACTCACTGGCTCTTGCCTGTTTTCTTTCCTGGAATGGCTCTCCACCAGAAAGTCCTCTTCTTTCTTCTAAGCCTATTTCAATGGTCCCTCCTTCACGAAGCTTCCCTATCTTCCTGTCCTGTATACCTCTTTCAAGTCCCCAAAACACTGTATTTCTCTTACAGAA